TTCCGCCTCGAGAGCGAGCTTCAGGGCGATTCGGAGGCAGGCTCTGATTTTAGGATTAATCTTCTCGTCAATGGCCAGGTTTCTACGCGAGAGCGACTCTACAACAGCCCAAGTCAGGGCGATACACAATCGCGCTTGAGTGCAGCAGTCGCAACTCGAGACCCAGACCTTGGTTATTTCCTGCTCTCTGCCACCCCATTCGAGCCGATTGCTCTAATTTTTGATACCCCGGACGAAGACTTTGTACCTATGCAATCAGCCTCACCATCTTTTGGCCAAGATGCCGAAGTCCGACCCTTGGAGTTTTTTGAGCCCCGCCCTGTTTATCAGCCGTCTCATGCATTCGATGAAAGCTCAGTGCTACCTGGGTTCATCGACCGGCTCCGCACGAGTCGACACAAGACAATTATGAACCAAGAAATTCGGTTGTCACCACTCACTTTACAGCTATTTACTGAGGTCCACCAGATCCTTAGCGACGAGACACACAGGCTTGGAGTTGCCGCATCAGAAGTATTCCTACGTTGCGTAAGGCTCCAGGACGAATTAAAAGAGCAAATCGCGAAGGCGAACGAAGTTAAGGCAAGAGTGGAGGCTATCACGAACGAGGACCAGGTCGAAGAGGGCGAAGAACCAGAGTCAAGCAATGCCGCCATCGAGAGAAGGCTGCAAAGCGCTAAAGAGAAAGGGGAAGCTCTAAGTCGACGTTTGGAGACAATGAGGAAGACGATCAATAAGGCTATGAATCGGGAGCTTAGCCAGAAAGAGCAGGAATGGGTCAGAGAGGTCAAGGCTTTGGATTCTGGTATATTCGGATCAGCACACCCTGCAGATGGGCCAACTCCAGCCAAGCAGTTCATGGACAGGTACCGGAAAATTACGGAGCTGAAAGACGAGCTTGAGGAACAAGCCAAGGCGCTCGACATGCCGGTCAGCGAAGAAGAGGACGATTCAAGTCCCTCGAGGGATGATCTACGCATTCCATCAGAGCTCAGACGGGCAAAGGTCAGCCAAGTCAAGAGTCTTCTAGAGCGAGAGACGGCATTAGTCCAGGCTGTCAAGTCAAGGCTAGAGCGTTTAACCGTAGTTGGGTAGAAGGCACCAGAAACTCGAGAGGCTGGTTTCGTTGATCCTTATCAAAAAATGTATGGTTGTAAAACGATAATCCGATCTAAATCAGCACAAGTGCAGAATGATTGGTCCTCAGCAACATAGCGTAACGTTTAACAATCCCTCCAAGGTGGTCAGCATTCATAGTGCTTCCATATCGACCAACCTCGACAGTGTGGCGTTGTGTGTGGGATGTAGTCCGGCTGATAGTGCCTCACTCCCGCGTCATTGGCTTCGCGAGTATCTAACAACGCGCTTTTTCCGGTGGCTTTTGCTCAAGTCCACATCACACTACATACCTACATTTTACACTAAATGAAATGTGACAAGTCAAATCCAGCTCTACCGTATCCGTCGACTAACTCGTGCACAAGTATAAATACGTCGCGCCTTCTCTTCTACTCAAACGATTCTCACGGCGGTGTGGGGTGAGGGGGGGGCTGTAAGGGACATCAGGGGTTGTCGTATTAAAGACCGGGAACCCCCAAACCGTTCGCCTCACTTTTTTTCTTTAGTCCCGACGTCATCCCGAGGTAGGCTACGCTACGCGCACTGCGGGTGAATGTCTTCACCTCTTAGCTTGCATCCAGCCGAATTCCATACCACCGGATTTGAGATGTTTTCTTTTCCTTGCCTCAAGTCGTGGCCTTATAGTACCCATGTTGTGAGGGACTTTGAGGCGCTCTAGCGATGGGCATTTGCACCAAGACAGAGCTACCTGCCGACTTCCAACGGGCAAGCGGCAGGTATCCGATGTCACTTCAAAGCATGCCGGCTGTGTAACTCTCTGGCCAATTCCAATTTCTGTGGAGGTGCCATTCTATACCGGCAGGTCTCACCCAAGGGAGCAATGGTCTGACGGTTTGTACCGTGTAGGCCTTGGGCCCCTTGTGTGTTTTCTTACATTCTATCCTCGGGGCTTAAAGTTATGGCCCAGAGGGCCGGCGTATGATAGAGCAGTTTTGCGTGTGTTACAGTAACGCACCACGGCCCGTCATACTCCTGGGCCCAGAATCTTGTAAGATGCGCAAGCCTCACGGAACCAATGATTGGGATTAGGTATGATGCACAAAGGGAGCGTGGCTGCAGGAAGCCATTGCCAGGCGCACCGATTCCTATATATAAAGCAAGATTCACCTCCGGTGTCTCCGACCATGAGAATTGAAATCATCCGTTCCCATCTTCTCCCTCAATGCTAGTATACCTGCAAGAGCCCCCAAATCCGGCTCACACTCGTCTTCAGCACTCACCATATACTACCACCATGGCCCCCAAATTGCCACCCTCCTCGCCCCTGGTGTTCGACAGTCGGACACAGGTCATAGGTCAGTCCTGCTGCTACACTGTTTCTTACCTAAGAGGAATTCATCGTTCTAATTGGCCAATTCTAGAAAACTGCGAGTTCCTCATAAGCAAGGATGACATAGTCCAAGTGATCACCAGTAGAGATGCTACCCAGAAGCTCTTCAGAGCGTATGCAGTACGGTGCAATGAAGGCACTCGTGAGCTCTTTCTGGCATCGGCACCTTGTGAGGACGCCCAAAAGGCCGTAGAGTCTCTACACGCAAAATCATCTGAAGCAATTCACAACCACATCTTGGCAAACGGCTTCTCGGGTCTCCGCGATCCAAAGACGACGTTGCTTGAGCCCATCTTGGATGACGACGATGCTGCCTCCATCATATCTGGCAACTCCGATTCCTCGACTGCCGCCTTTTCCGAATGGGGCAGTTCTGGTGACGAGGCTATGATGCTCAAACACGCGGCAGATGCCATAGGCGCACCTAAAGATAGACAACGTCCCGCTGGTCGCCATAGCAGCCGCGCCGTGGCAGCCCCCAATACACACGAGCCAGTGGGAAGCTCGCGTTCAAGGGCAGCGGTCCGAGACTTCTCTGACTACGCAAACCCGGCCCCCCCACGTGTCCGGGATGTACGCCCTGCCCGTTCTCGTTCGCCCTCGTTTGCATTCAGACCAGCACAACCGCCGCCACACCATGTACACCCTGGACAGCCTAGCTCGGATGGACCTCCCGGCCCGCCGCCCCCGCCGCCTGCGATGCGAGGTATGGGGACGTCCCCAGGTCCTCACCCTTATCCGCCGCCAGGCAGGCCAGGAATTCCAGCACCTCCCCGTCCGCAGAATGGCATGAACCAACCGATGCCATCGATGCCACCAATGCCCCCGACGCAACCCTTCACCTACTTCCGCCCCCCTGGGCACTACGCGGAGGGGACCCCTCTCCCGATGAGCCAAGGGGCCCTGCGACCTGGTAAACCATCTGGCCCCAACCCCCCCGGCGGCAACAATGGCAACAGAAATAGCAATGGTAGCGAAAGCAACCTATCTCGGCCCTATCCTGCTATCTACTCCACTATACAACTCTACGCTGTCCGCTTGACGGTACATTGGCTACGTCACGGCCAGCACCGCATCATAGCTCAGTGCCACGCGACTCGCGAATCGCTACAGAGCGCGGCTCTCGCTGACGTACGCATGAACCCGGGCGCCTTCACCACTGATATGAAGGCAAGCCCCAACAGCAGCAACAGCAGGGATGGTGAACGCCTGAACCTGCGGGCCCAGGTGCGTCAGGCCGTGTTTGGCGGCGAATCGTACGACTTGCGGACGTTCCACGGCCAAGACCTCACGCGTCTCTTCCGCGCCATGGGCTCGGACGTCAGCATGCCGTCCTTCGAAGTCGTCGTTGAGGACGTCCCTCGCCATGCAGAAGACGATGACGACGATGACGACAACGAGGAGGACGATGACGACGAGAGCATCCGTGGACCTTCGAACATGGCGAAGGCTGAAAATTACTACTGAGCGAGCCCCTAGCCATCACCGCGCATCCGGTACTACAGACAGGGCGGTTGGGGCTTCCAGAAGCGTGCACGAAGGCGTGGCTTGTGTGACTACAACCACGAGACAGGGTTATGGTTTTCTTTGAACAGCGCTTCAACACGCTTCGCCCAGTTATCCAGCCCTATGTGCTCCTTCCTATCCATCGAGCAATATGCAGGCCGTCTACAGGCTCGGTGGTTCATTTTCATTTGACGCTCGTTCTACCCCTTTTCCTCCATTCTCTAATTTCTTCACGGCGGGGAACCAGTCAAAGAATGAATGTATGATGTCAACTTGTTGTGTCGATACAGCGGGCGTTTCTCTACTGTTTTCCGTAACTCGAGTTATTTCACGAATTTGCACATTCGTTACAAAACTACTATGTAGACAGAAAACATTGGTGGAGCAACGCAGTCAGTCTTGTCAGTTAGTTTCCTTCCTCGGCACTTTTAGACTGTTATCTAGGCCTTATGACAATAAACAAAATTATGATTTCTCTCATTACATTAAGGATACAATTATTACACGATAGTGATTGGGCCGACTCTGATATCGCTTCAAGTAACTAGTCTAATGTAGTTGGTTGCCAGTCCGTCCCGGCTGTATTCGTACATTTGCCACCCAAACGCCTTATTTCTTGAAGCCCAGACTATTACCAAGGTAACCCTCCTCGTCTACAGCCCAATACGAGTGGCGTTATCTCGAACTATTGAGTTTTGGGTTCACGTTGTTCGCCCTGTTTATATATAAGTAAATGATCGACAGCAGGTGGTTCAGGTTTCATCGGCCGACTTTCGAGCTAGTCAGGATCAGGGGTGTTCACACGATCCCTCGGTAGTTGGAGGCTTAGGTTATGTTAGTTTCATTTTTAGTCCACCACCATCAGGCTAGCCACTCACATTTCTTCAATTCTAGTCTAAATTTTGGGTGTGGGAACAGGGCTACTAAGAAAAAAAAAACGTACGCCAGGAGTCTGGCTCTCGGTTCCATAAGGCGCGTGTTTGTGGGCAGCAGAATTCACCAAACTACCTAGTACCTCTGACTTGCCCGGTTAGCTCAATCGGTAGAGCGTGAGACTCTTAATCTCAAGGTTGCGGGTGAGTAGTGCTGAAGAAATTGAAATAATATCTTCGAAATACTAATCCTATACAATAGGTTCGACCCCCGCATCGGGCTCAATTCCTGATGCCTCCGAAGTAACATAGGAGTTGCAACCAGTCTTTTTTTCTCTAATTTTTTTTCTTGATTTTTTATTGCTTAAATTATGTATTTTGTTTTGTATATCTCATTTTCATCGATTGGACGAAAAGGTGGAGGAAAAAGAAGGCAAGTGGCAAATGTGACAGCGGCCTCAGCCAAGATCCTATCACGAAACCCAGATCTATTGTAGAGATTTATGCAGCCCTACTGTCTCTATATACCGATAGGCAAATAAGTAAAGTATGTGTTAGGTGATGACCGAGACACAATGCTGCTTAGTGTTGAAACAATGTTCTCCATCCGCATAAACAACGATCCATGTCCATGTCCATCACAAGCAATGCAACTACGTACCAACGCACTGGCAAGCACAGCAGGCATGATAACGCCCACCAGACGTATAGCATGAAGGACCTAAGCACCGGGATGGCACGCATTCGTTTCTGACCAGCCATTCAATAAGGGCATTGCATTCATGCGGCCGTATAATCCTATCTGAACGCTGGATTTCTTGTCCTCTGAACACGTTGTCCGGTGTCACAACATCTTGATAGGTCGGGGATACTTGGCTCTCCTCCCACTGGGTACAATCAGGGGACTGCCATTGTTGGCAGATGCATCGTAGTACCATTGGGGTGGGTATACTATATTTGTTCTACCTTTGACAGCCATGTCTATACTGCCAGCCGGTGAGACACAGACAACCGAGGACCAGTCGTTTGTATGCACTACAGCATCGACAGCGTGCCATCTGCCTGGCGTAGGCATAGCGCAGTATGAGGCCGAGTAGGGCGAACCCAATGAATGACTCACATGAACGACGGCTAGATAGGCGGGAGGGAGAGAAGGGAGAGAGATTGGATGTTGTTGTCCCCGTTTGGCCTTGTTTTCCCTTCGACGGGAAGGCCCGCGGACTGCTGCATGGAGCACACGTCCTTTCTTCCCACTCCCGCCCGGCAACGGCTCCCTCGGGAACGGTGAGGCAATTCGGGTCCTGTGGGCGGTACCAAAGATCTTACCTCGCAGTGCATGTCTCTATCTAGATCGCCGTGAACGGTGAATGAGGCGCAACACGTACTGCTATGTGATAGGGCAAAAGGGGGTATACCGAGAGGATACTTGGCACACTCCCTGTGGTATGTTTATTCAGATCTAAGACAAACATAGCGGTCAAGTGATACATCACTATCACGGCTAAAGATCTACTCGATGTGTCAGATTAGAGAGATACTAGCGCATTTTGCTCGTTTACCCACGTTCCCGGGGCAAACATCTGTAATACTTCACGGTAGTTGCTTATGGAGGACTATCCGGGAATAATAGGGGTTGAAATATGAGGCTGTCTTATCATCCTGACTCCCTGTTCAAATCCTGCGGACATAACATGTTCTCACCTTTGGAGAGTTTCCGGCACATCCGCCATCCGAGGCCGTCGGGCCATGGAGGCCTTAAGGGAAGCCACAGGGCTCTTTACCAATCTGACATGTTCACTTAGAATATCAGGCGAGGCGCGCCCCAGGCTGCGTAAGGATATGAGTAACTAACGTGCAAAAATTAACGCCCAAGGACCGAGTCGCCTCGCGAGTGGTGAGCGGACAAGATATCTTGACAACATACGAGGAATGATCTGACATATCTCACGTCACTGCCTAGAATAAACTCGGGAAGGGGCATAGGTTAGAACGATCATATCTTCGTTTCCTGGGCAAGGGAACTGTATGTTCTATTCTACAGGAAAGCATCGCATTTTCTTCTCGTCTTCCGCGTTGTAATCGTCCGCATTGCCTCGTCATCACCAGTGTGATCATGGGTGCATATTCTCATTCTCAATCTCTTTCTCATCTTATCCCCCTTTCCTATCCGTCGTCAAAACGAAGTCGGGTTTCCGGAATAGAGCCAGACTATTGGCTAGTATAGATGGCAGAGAGGAGCATAATATTATGCAAAGATCTCCCTTCTCCCTGGAGCCGGATATCTAGTAGTGCTAGACAGACGTTGCAGGAATAGGGGCAATTTCCAGAGGTCGTATTCAACGCGATTTTTCAAGGAGTATTAGGCAAAGGAAAATGGAAAGGAAATTCGTTGATTAGGGGTTCGAGAGCTGTTGGGCTAGCCCCATATATGGGTTTTTTTGTGTGCTTCTGGAGATGTCAGTCTTTTTTTTTATTGCTTGTTTGCGTTGAGGAGATTGACGTACCTGTCCACGTGCATCGTTTGAGGCTCGAAGTTGTCCTTGCGATTCTGACAGCAGTAAAAGGCAAGAAGTCTGATGAAAAGGAAAGGGAAAAACGTGGTGCAAGAAACAATTGCCCATCCTTCTATGGACTATGGAAAGAGAGGGTTGGTGTTGCAGACAGCCGCATCGTGAGCCGCAACTACGCCGTTGTGAAAGCGTTGTGGAGTTTTTTTTTTGGTGTTTTTTTCGTCTCCGTTGTGCGTAGAGAATGAGCCATAGAAAGCAAGATAGTACCGGCACCATGTCCAATTACTATCGTTCGTCTCCCCCGACCTACCCATCGCCTCTTGTTGTCTTCCATGTAGTCCTCGTTCATCAAGAGTCATGGAGGTAAACAATAGATGTGATGGCAATCGCATAGACAACCGTCAGCAAGAGCACAAACGCCGGGAAGCCAAGTGGGCTCTTCGACTCTAGTATGATTGAGGGAACTGAGGGTAGAGGTCATTATTAGTATAATGAGTCTCTTGGATGACGGTGTCTGCCACTCCCATCTGCATTTCCGCCAAGTCAGCAGCTGTGATGCCGGGCATATACATCGGAGACAAGGGCGACATGGGCGTGTCAAGGAAAGTGCTGTAGTCGACCTCGCTGTTCTGTGGCGGCTCGGGGTACTGAAAGCCCGGTGCATATGAGCCTATATTCATCGGCAAGGCAGAAAATACCGAATAATTCGGTTGCTGGTCCATCTCATAGGCGCCTTGATGCGGCTCCGGATAGTACTGGTAGGCAGGCGACGCCACGGTCATTGGCGTATCGGGCATAGGACCCATTGGATGGATGCTCTGTCGCAGGTCCTCGTGACCGAAGAAAGCGGGAGAGGCCGGGGGAAAGTACCAAGGTGACGAAGTTGGGTGGCCGTAGTGGCTAGGCTCGGGTCCTGGGACCCCGTATCTTGCCGTGTTATATAAATCAAAGGGTTGGCCACTCATCTCTCCGTACTGGAAGGGGGGAGGCGGAGGAGGCGGAGGGAGAAGAGCAGCGGTTCTACGCTTGTTCTGGCGATGAGACGGAAGGGCCGGCTTTGCTCGGCGGGTGCGGTTCCGGGACGACTGAGCCTTTGAGGCTGAGGTAAAGGTGTTAAGTGCTTCCTGATTTCGTCGGCCGTACCCAGAATTTGTATTCCATCCTCTTCCGGAGGCTGCAGATGATTCCGTGTTTTTCTCCTTTTCTTGAATAGGAGCGGCCTCCAGAAGATAGGTCCCTAGCAAGTAATAAGAATTAGTATGATGATTCGAGTCCTGGGAAATATAAAGATGGGCGTAGAACACAGAGAAGCGAGTAAGGGTATCGATCTAAAAGACTGTATATATAAGTTTACCTTTCTTTTGGTCTAAGAAATCATCGACCCAATCGTGGAGCCGGGAGATCTCCGCGTCAGAGACATCCGGATTCCGAAGTCTCTCGCGGCGAATGATCGTCCACCTGTAAAACTCGTCGTTAAAATCATGACACAGACGCTGGAACGCGTATCTCTTCGAGCGAGTAATCCGGAACGGGGCCGACTGTCTCTTGATATACTTCATGACAGACGCGTTCTTGGTCTCGATGAAGTCCATCAGTTCGCGGATGTCGTCGGCTGGGATATCACGCTTGTGCCCGTAGATGCCGTAGAGAACCTCGTTCAACTTTCTGGCGAACAGGACCGCCCAGTCTTTGGCACAGCCATCTGGATCATCGCTGCCCATCTTTCTGCGGCGGGCGCGCATCTGGAGCTTCTCCTTCCAGGTCGCTTGGTGCTCGTGCTTGCAAATCAGAGCGCAAACCGTGTCCAACTCGAACTGAGTCCATTCTCGTATGTTCGGGTCAGGCCTTTGCTCGGAACCCAGGGAGGTTGGGGGACTATCTTCATAAGATGGAGATGGTTCTAGAGTTTCCGAAGAACTCGCCATGGTGTAGACTGGCGCTACTATGAGCTTGCCACAAGGGATGTACGTGTGAAAAGGAAGTTAGGAACGATGGAGAAAGGGAGATATGCCTAGGCCCAGTGATGCCTTGATGATATGTGTCAGTTTACCTCCGCGGCGTGCCAGACATATACCAGCAGGTACGGAAAAGCCTTGAACTATGTGTGTGGATGAGGGAGGATCAGGCGTTGCATCAGTAGTTTGAGGAGGGCAAAAGCATCGAGCGTTTCTTTCAGTTATTTACTTTGTTGGTCGATGGGAAGTGTTTGTATCAGGGGGCTTTGGGATCAAGATGTAGGTTGAAGGTATGAGGTATGTATAACCTAGCTGCCTTTCCAAGAGGAAAAGGTCAGTGGCGGCGAAGGGCCGAAGGGAGATCGTGGAAGCTGTCAGAAGAGGAGTGGCAGGCGCGCGCTGCGAGGGCCTCTTGCTGAGAAAGCAGCTGGTAGATGAGGCGGGTGTATGATGATCTGGGGAATGTTGGAGGATGAATGAAGTGTAGTAGAATCCTAAAACTGAGATGCTATGCACCACACCTGGAGTTCCTGATACCTTGAGAGGGAATCCAAGAGCTTGGGTTGCTACTTGCCTTGAAAGTTGAAAAGAAGAAAGAAAAACTTGAGGGTATAGTAGAAAGTGAGGTTGGAACCTCGTGGGTGTGTGTTAGGGTACAAATGAGAGGGGGGAAGGAAGGAGGGAAGGAAGGAAGAAGAAGAGGGAGAGGGGCTAGAGATGAGGAGATGGGTGACAAGCAAAGCATCAGTGGGCTGTAGGCTAGATGACCGCGTGCACTGGCAAGCCTCTGAGAAGAAGGACGATGTCATCCTCGGCAT